AAAAAAATGTTAGGCAGTTCATTTCTCAGGTATGGTTCACCGCTTCTTCATATCTATGTTCATCATGATATCAGTAACTTCAGGTTTAATTCAAAGAAATTGCCTGCATGTGTGCGCGGATGGGTCCGTGAAGAATTGTTCTAATGTGTTTAGTGGGCTCCTGTTTTAATTGTAACTTTTCAGCAGCAATGATCTTAACGATTTAGGCCTGCGCCTTGCTGCCTCTATTTGTAGAAAAAAAAGTTTCTTTGTAGGCCTAATCGTGAAAAAATGGTCCTTCGTAGGCCCTCTTTGGCTTCAAAGCATTAGATGCAACAAAAAAGAGATGCGTTAATCAATTTACCTCCATGGTGACGCTCCTTCCTACATATGCTTCTGATTTACACCGGCTGTATAGTCAGCAGGAGTTGATGCTACATCAGCTGGTGATTTGTTGTGCCTATATAGTCATGCATGAGTAAAGGATCCAATATATTTTTTCTGAGTCTTCGATTCTTGATATACTTTTTCCATGGATCAATCCAGTTGCAAGCCTGCATTGCACATTTGAACATTTGCAGCTCAGTCATAGTTTGTGGCACTGTTGCATTGCAGGTATGATATTTTGGTTGAGATCCTCATGGACCTTCCTCATTTACCATATGCGTGATTCATCTACCGATGTCTACAGATATATTAGCTCAATACCAAAGCATCCACAGATTGTATTATGTTTTGTCCTAGGATAAACTTTTATTACTTCACTATGGTTCAGAATTCTAATTTTACAGTGTATGTGCAAGTGTTTTTATGCGTTCCTGTACTTCAGTTAGTTTATTTATGTCAGATTGAGCTGATTTAGAGAAATAATATATTTACAGCCCGCTTATTTTATGTTTAGGATGTGTTGAATGGAAGCTATGTGCAAACTCAACAATTAAATAATGGATTTTTCATTGTGATATAAAAAATGACAGAGCCTTCATATTCCGAACCCTACAGTGCAGGATGCAGTATCAAGATGACAACCAGAGCAACCTCTCCAGTTCTCCAGGATGTGCACAGTAGCAGCTCCACACTAAGTACTTATGTGCATATCTTTTTAGCCACCTCTCTCTATGAAAATGATTCAGTCTTCTAACACAATGCAGACATAATAGATAGGCATCACTATGCCCATCACCTTATGGCTGTATTATTGTGCTGCAGAACAATAGACCAAATGCATGTATTTGTTTCTTCTCTAATGTGTCTACAGTTCTGCATCTGAGGCTTTACTGACTTTCTTTGTTAATTCCCTGCTTTCAGTATCCAAGGCTCGCGATGTAGGCCCCGTTCGTCTGTCTAAAAAAAAAGAAGCAAAAACACTGTAGCGGCTGGTTGTGTGAGAGAGAAATGCTGCAGAGGATGAAAGATGAACAGTGTTTTTGTGAGGAGAGCAGCCGGCTGGTCTGAACTTTTCAGACCAGCGAACGCAGCGGTAAACTGGTGGGGCTAATTCAGAGTCCATAGCTTATACGTAAGTGCTCTCATCTAAAACACCTCACACCCCTTCTACTTCAGTTATCTGCTATCTTGGTGATGCTCCCCCCTTGGTGCTTTACTGAAACTGGGTTATGTGACGGAAATAGAATTATAGTGCATCTTTCATATGTCAATTTCTAAGGAAATTATCATTGTACCCCTGCTTGATTAAGCATATGCCATTGCTGTGCCCCCCATAATTTTGTGATGCCGTGCAAGACTCATACTCTCATATAAATGTCACTGGACTCCTGTTCGCTTGCTCGTAAACGATCGTAAATTTTCAGCCGGGAACCGTGTTTTTCTCTCACACTAAACCAGCTAGCAGTAAATAATCCACGATACGATACGGCCTCCCGAACAGGCTGTCAATTGTTTGGTTTTATCCAATCATAAACGCCGTTACCTACCTACACGGTTTGATTTCCGTTTAATCGCCGGCGCACGTAAAGGCACGCGTGATGGACTAGTTGATTATAAACGTTGCTTTCTCTGAGTCTCTCTCACTCCCTTTCTGTATACGTTTTCAAAAAAGGATCTCTTTCAGTCGTGATCAGTCTACAGCCCCGTTGCACAATTTGCTGATCTGCGAGCACGATGGATGACATCCAGCGCTCGGGCAGCAACACGGTAGAGACGCCCACATTACGTGGCGGCTTCACAGTACGTACAGAGAGACTTGAGGGAAGGTGGATGCGCCTGGCGCATCGAGTGCCCTTGTGCTGATATGCAGGCATGCGGCAGCAGAGCAGCGGCAGCAGGCAATCTTTCAGAAAACAGCGAATCGACTCCATTGTTTCGACGACCCAAACACGTGCGGCGTGAGCTGAGGTTTCAATCACGGATCACGGGAGTTGAAAGTCCGCGACGAACCCGCCGGCCGCCGCGTTGGGTGGGGCGAGGAGCAGCGGAAGCTTTGCGTGTGTTGAGCCCAGACAGACACCTGACGAGTGATGAGGGTGCTCAGTCTTTTTAGTGCCCTGCTATAGGCAGGCATGCCAAAGACGCTGTACAGTGCGTGACTCCAGTGTCAGTGAGATCGATCATCTCTTTGCAAAGGTTGCACCACATCCTTTTGACTGCTGGCGCGCCACTATGGTGGCGCCTGGCCTGTGAGGGCAGGCTGAGGAGAGGAGGCCACAGCCTTCGTCACACGCGTGGCGTGGCGCCTGCGGTCACAGTACACCAGTGCCGTCTCTGTCCACTTGTCCCTCGGGCCTCGGCCCGTCGGCTGCCCGCATATGGAGTGTAGTAGAGCCAACAGTGGTACTACCTGCTGTGGTAGGAGTGATCATCAGTAAAGAAACTGTTGAGAGTCCTTCCCCCCTGAATTAGGCAATGTCTAGCCTACTTGACACTGTATTCAGTGGCGGAGCCTCGTGGAGGCCAAGCTGGGCATCAGCCCCCCTTGCTTGACTATGATCCACTGTTATTCCTGTGAATGCATTCATTGTTTCATGTGATAGAGAGAAGAAAAATATTTAACTAAGAACACAGGCAGTCTGTACTAGCTAGAAGTTAGAGGCAAGATGAAGCCCCTCCTTTGTTTGACGCCACGCTCCGCCGCTGACTGTATTGCTGTTCATAAATCACGATTTTGGTGAGAAGGATATACTATTATGTAAACAAATATTTGCCACCACGGATTATTCCAATCCGTCCCTTTGATATGGATTCTCAGTCCACATCACCTAGAGGGATCCATCGGAGCAGCCACCATAGGGAACTAATCATCGTCAGCGTCGCACTTTTAAGTATCATCACCGCCGTTATCACACGCGGTGATAAGACCAAAGCCAAAGATTCTCGTCATACCGCAAAGTTACGCAATATATTTGGAAACTGTCACGGTGCTTCCATGCCAAGCCTCCCCTAGTGCACGAATCTTGGCGCACTAGCTGGAGGACGAATAGAGTGGCCAGTAAGTAATGCCTAATTAACGTCGCGATGAAGATGACGCTGGGATTAAGATTTCGATGGGTGCACTTGACGACTGACCCCGGGATATTTCAAGTCTTCCTAATTAATGCCAGCAGCGTGTGTGAACATGAGGAGTAGGAGTACTTTGTTTTGAAAGAAGAAAAAAACGTTTAATGCTAGTCAGCATGCTCGTCCGTAGCACGACACGTTTCGGCTGAACCGGACAGATTTGCGCGGTTTCCAGCATCTTCGCTAATGCCGACAGATTAGCCGCTCATTTGGGACAAAAGATCTGACTGAGAAGATAAAGACAGTGCAGTACTCCTCTGCCTCTAAACAAATCAACATTGAAATTATCTTAAATCAAACTTTTTAATACTGACCAAAATTATTAAAAACACTAATATTTACGACCACAAATAAACATCTATAAAATTAATCGGTGTCATAAATATTGGTATATAAATTGATTATAACCTCTCTTTTTTACTTGCGAATCTAGAAATTGATCTAGAGTAAGCAGTACTATAAGGAACGATCGAGATGGCAGTAGATGGAGCACTGTACCACTGCACTGCACGGATTGGAGGATTGGATTGCGAGCTTGGAGACTGGCTCTAGGCAGCTAGTAGCTCGACGCGCGATGCACGGACAGCGATTTCCGCGATCAGCGTCAGCGAGACCGCCCGCGTGGATCATGCGCGCTGAAAAACTAGAAACGCGTCGCTGTGCTGTACCCGTTCGTCTCCGTATAGATTCCGCATTTTTCGTGGCTGACGGAAGGATCAGCATGATCCGGTGCAATCGTGCAAACAGCCCGTTTGTTGATTGGTTTCTAAGCTAATAAATTATGTTGTTGCTGATTTATTATAAAAAAAAACACTGTCACTTGGCTAAAACCAACCGAGCGAACGGGAAGAAAGACTCTGAAATCGTCGCCCGTTTTGGATGCTTGCTCTCGGTTTGGGACCAGAGATCATCGCATTCTTCAAGCTAAAGCTTATGCAGAAGCTGAAATCAACGCCTGACTTGTGCATACAAGCAACAGTACATTATTGTGTTTCAACGATTCTTATGCAGAAGCGCAACAACGAGCGCAGAAGCAGAATATTGCGTTCAAAAAAGCGGAGGAGCAGAATCACAAATGAAGCAGAATCCAGAAGTAAGGGCATGTTTAGATTTAAAAAAATTTGCGTTCGAAAAAGCGGAGGAGCAGAATCGCGAGACGAAACTTTTAAACATAATTAGTCCACAATTAAACATTAATTACAAAATACAAACGAAATGCTACATTGAGCCAAAATCTAAATTTTTTTTTATCTAAACGGGGCCTAATAATGTACATTCACTGATCCGTACCTGAGAAAAACATGGAATTACTTCCTTTTCTCGTAGAACTATATATATATAATAATAATATTACAGTTCGTCGATCTTCCTCCCCATATATACATGTTTATTGATCTTAATCCTGGTAGTAACTGCTAGCTAGTACTACCTACGTACTCCTCCGTAGAGAGAAACAAGAAGAAATACCCACTGAAGGCAAAAGAGACTACCCAGTTTTTCCCTCTGCATCAAGCATCTTCGATTTCTTCCTCATTCGACGAGCGCGGCGAAGCAGCTCCCCGTGCGCGCCAGCGAGCTTCCGGCAGCCCCTTGGCCACGGCCGCGACGACGGAGATGCCGCCGGGGGCGGCATCGCGCCTCGGGCTGCTCGGCGTGGAGCGCGCCTTCCTGGGCGCCGGCGGCGGCGGGGACCCGAGCCTGCGGCGCAGGAGCAGGCGCAGCGCGGCGATGAGGTCGTCGGGGCTGCCCGCGGGCGACGGCGGCGCGGACGCCCCGCGGCAGACGCAGGCGTGGCGGTCCAGCGCCTCGGCGGGGGAGATGGGAGGGGACGCGCGCCCGAGCTCCTCGCCGACCGCATCCCCGCACAGGCCGCAGATCCACCGCCCGCCGTACCGCGCGCGCACGCCCGCGATGTACGGCGCCGTGCACTCCTCCGTGAAGCCGCAGCACTCGCACGCCACCTCCTCCTCTTCCTCTTCCTCCCCCTCGACTGGCTCCCTCTCCATGGCCTCCAGAGCTCCCGCCTCAGGGGACACGCGAGCGCCTAGGAACAGATTACAGATCAGATCGGCGGCTCCTCGCCATCCGCTGCTGTTACGATGCCGAGCTGCCGGTCGTGGCCGCCGCCGCCGCCTGCTTCCATCTACTTCTACTCCCCTCCCCGTGAGCGCGTGATTGGCAATCGGCGCTGGCTTTTAACGTGGACGATGGCGGGGCCCACGCGGGCTGGGCGTGAATTATGGAGCGGGGCCCGCCGCTTCCCGCCACGTCGGACGGGGCCACGGGACGCGGCCCGGGTGGGGCAGGTGTTGCCAAGTGGGCCGCCGAGGTCGCTTCTCTGCGGCCGCGGCCGCGTTGTGCAAAGCCTGGCCGCGGCCGTTTCGTGCGCCGGGGTTTGCTTGCCCGACGAAAGCACGGCACTGGTCTTATCGCGCTGTTGTTTAATGTAGTCGCGTACTATAGTCGAAAGGTTCTCCACAGGACGGCACCGTGGCGCACTACCGTATGTATTTTCAATGACGACTTTATTCGACCCATCAATCAATGTAAGGGAGTGTTTGTTATTTAGATGTCACTTAAAATTTATATCACATCGAATGTTTATATATTAATAAGAAAGCATTAAATATAGATTAATTACAAAATCAATTACATAGATGGAGGCTAATTTACGAGATGAATTTTTAAGCCTAATTAATCTGTTATTAGTACATGTTTACTGTAGCACCACGTTGTCAAATCATTGACTGATTATGCTTAAAAGATTCGTCTCGTAAATTAGTCGCAAGTTGTGCAATTAGTTTCGTAATTAGTCTATATTTAATACTCCATGTATATGTCCAAACATTCGATGTGACAGAAATTTTAGAAGGTCGTGTAGAAACCAAAGAAGGCTGTACACGTAACGGTATTGCTCGGCGATTGGACATTGGTAGGGTCTGGTGGAATATGATGAAACACATTTCTTAAGGAAGAAAACTTCCATGTACTAGTAGACCAATAAAGAAGAGAAAAATCCTTACATGTTGTTGGTATAAAAGCCTAAATTCTCCATTTGGCATGCCACCTAGAAAACATAATAATTCCCATGTATATAGTTAGTGTTAAACTAGTACCTTCTATGTTAAGGTCATTGTCTGAGCACTGTTAAAGAACATTTTAGATGTCAGTATTACTCATACTAACTATACTTAAAATCATAGAGGCGATCAACAATGAGCAAATGGCGGCTCGTTGAGGAGGAATGTAGGGTGGTGTTAACTGTGAGCAGTAAAAGAAATCACTAACGTTTTTATATTCAGGGTGCTCATAAACTGGGCCACAACGTTAAAGGTAGACCATGTGTTACTTCGGCCCTGAGCCGGGCAACTTCATCGTTCCAGACAGCAAATCCGTCCAGCCTGAAATGTGGCCATCTGGGGTGCGTGGTAGATCATCAGGTAGGCATAGGCACTCGGCAGAGGCAGCTCGTAAACGCACGCGAGGGGCGAGGCGTTGCTTGCAAGGAAGAAGTCGGCACGGCCAGCGGCGTTCACACACCATACATTCTATCGATCCAATGGTCCCAAATTTTAATATCGCGAACTAGTTTACTTCCGCGGTCATTTCACTCGTGCAACACGTACGCACGCAACGGTGAATGAAGCAAGTGACGTCGCATCCGCGCGCACGAGCGAGCGACACCCGCGAGCCCCGAAGCATAAACAAGTAAACAACGGAACAGGCCGGTTGGGTCTCATCCTTTGTTTATTGTCAGCGGGCCACGCCACGCATCGTAGTACTACGCAGGAACTGGCCCGGCTGTCCGCCGGCCCCGGTGCCGTGGGGTGGTGCCGCGTCGGCAGGCACGGACGGCGCGGGATTGGGAACTGGGAAGGGTCCGGGGCCGAGGCTCTGCGCTCTGGGCGGTGCGGACCGAAGCGGTCATGGAATAACGGTCAGCGTGAAGGCGTCAGGCCTGCCTGCCCCCGGTACTATACTAGGCGGGTAGTGGGAGCGGCGTCCGCGGGACACGGATGACTGGGCGGCCCATGACAGCTTCAAACGAGCCCGCTCGTCGTCGTCGGTAACACTGTGCTTATTGGGCTTGGCCCGTTCGAAGTGCAATGTCCTCGGCCTTTAGTTTCAAAGTGTGCTTTATCACCTTGCAACTTGTAAAAATTCTTTGCCGATGCGGTGGCCATTCCTCAAGACGACGGAACCAGCTTTACCACTGCCCCCTCGCAGCATGATGGCGGGAGATGAAGCAGAGCTTCAACTTCACGGGCGGTCCATGAGTACCACCACAATCCGGATCCACACAGCACACGTCTGGACCGGACGGACGTGCAGAATCGTAGTCGCCAGGCGTGCCGCCGCCGCTTCGTCGTCGTCCTCCCGCTGTCCTGTCCACGTCGTACCACACGCCAACCAGGGCACCAGGCCACCACCACCACCGGGGTCCAACAAACCCAGCAAGTTCCTCGATCTCGATCATTTACCTGGCCCTCGGCGCATCAACCTAAGCCTTCACGTACGTTATCCGTTCGTTCCTCACCTACGATCCGCGCGCGATCGACGTTGCGTTAGGGATGGATGGCCTGAAGGCATGGCAGTGTTCATAGCATAATTTGGCTGGCCGAGTTTGTTAGTAAATTTGGCTTTAGCTATGGCTTGTTTGTTTGTTAGCTGAGAAATATTTTGATTAGCCAGTTTAAAGGTATGTTTGATCCTCTCCTCCAAGCTTTAGAGATCTAAAAACTTTAAAGCACTTTAACTCAGTTTTGAGGTAGAGCATCTCCAAGAAACTCTTTATATATTTTCTAATTTACAGGATTGGAGATTTTGATGAAAAATAGCCTCCAACAACCTCCTCAATTTGATACATAAATATAGACATTCTCTATTTCCGATTTCTCGCTAGCCAAAAACGGAGAGCGATGATGACTTTTTATACGTACTGTGCACGAGATATAAAAAAGGTGTTGGAGGCTACAAAGATAAAAAAAACGATTTTAACTCAAATAACTCTTTGATGGATGATTTAAAGAATATATTTTAGAAATACTCTTCGAGATGCTCTAATGCTCTAATGGGAGGTAGGCCAAAAGTTTAGAGCTAATTTAGACCCCTATTTGAAGTTTTAGCTCTAAAGTTTAGATGAGCCGATCCAAACGGTCCTAATTTGTCAAGGAGCTAATTCGGCTGGTAATCATTATTTTCTATCGATCTATTAGTTAATTAATATAATAGAAGCAGCAGGAGACAACCAGGACAGAACATGTACCGTCTTTAGGAATAGCAGGTGCTAGCGCTGGACAGGATGTGCAAGAGCCAAGAGGCTTAGGACATTACCGCAATTGACATCTTCATACTGAAGGGCCGGACTAAACATATAGAAGGAAAAATTGTGTATGTGATCAGGGAAGTATTTTGCACAAATCAATTGATCGGCTGGATCAACCAAGGGTTTGAAGTTGTTGTATTCAGACTAAGATGGCCAACTAATTAAGGGTTAGGAATATTTTATTTAGATTGATTGGTGCGTGCAGAACAATAGATTATTGGAGAAAACTGTAATTGAGCTGTTTATATCTAGCCATTGGATTTTTCCGGTTGATACGACCGAACATGTATGCCAATTTAGAATCCTGGCCGGATACAGCTGGCTAATGACCGTGACATATCATTATAAACACCGGGTACATGGCCGATTGAACCCTCTAGCCAATGGCCATTGTCAATCTATTATTTTTTAGTATTATATATATATATATATATATATATATATATATATATATTTCTACTTAGGACGTACAATAGTATATGTTAAACCCTAATCTCCATTAGGGATTGGTAACCTTTGTTGTTTTGTGGCACGAAAGTGACGAGGAACCCCTTTCCTAGTTTGTCTTCAAAATTAGTCGCCCATCAATATGAAAGAACGATAGTTATCGTGGTATTGTGTGATCAATTTCGCGCGCCAACATGCAATACGGCAACCAAACCGGTCTATCACAAATTGGAGACTGTTGTTGGAACGTTTTCATCGGCAGTATTGAAGCGGTGCATTATAGCTATGTCCCTTATTAGCTTTAATTTCTTTTCTTGGTCCACTTTTCGATAGCTACGATGAGTGGTGGAGCTTGATGGAAAAAAAGAGAGGGCCATCAACATTAATTTCTTACTTAATATGCATATTCATTGATTTTAATCACCAGTTTAATAGCTACTTAGGCCAGTCGCAGTGAGAGTTTTATTTGCATTAAATAGGTTGTCACATAGGTATTTTTGATGATATGACAGTGTATTTAAGAAGAGAGAAAAGAAATGGGTTTCATCTAAATAAAACTCTCTTGGCACGATTACCAACTCTCTATGAGTCTTAAAATTAAATGCCTATGAAACCATCGAATGAAACTCTCCATTGAGAGTGGGTGTTTTATCCAAGTTTTATTTTATTTCACGTGACATGGCAGTCTTGTAAACAACGTCATGAAACTCTCCATCGAGACTGGCCTTACGGGAGTTTTCAATCAGCCAGGAGGGCCATGACCCTCTTTGACCTACGTGTAAGCTCCCCCGGTGCTACGATAGATGACCCCTCACGCTGGCGTACGCTGCTAAGACTGTCTCCAATAAGGAACCCATATGGACACCCAAACCCAAAATGGGTAGCAAGAGACCTAAAATCAGCCTCCAACAGAGTACCTATACTAGAGACCTATTTTGGGTTGGCTGAAAGGCTACAGAGATACAAAAGCAATTTTAACTCAAATAACTCTTTGAACGATGATTTAAATAATATATTTTAAAAATGCTGTTCGAGATGCTCTAATGCTCTAATTGGAGGTAGGCCAAAAGTTTAGAGCTAATTTAAACCCCTATTTAAAGCTTTAGCTCTAAAGTTTAGAGGAGATGGTGCAAACGGTCCTAATTTGTCAAGGAGCTAATTCGGCTGGTAATCATTATTTTCTATCGATCTATTAGTTAATTAATATAATAGAAGCAGCAGGAGACAACCAGG